CTTATGTTTATCCAAATGACCTGGGGATCTTCTTAAAATACAGATTTCCTGATTGAGTAGTTCTAGGGTGGCCCTTGACATCCTGCATTTTTAATAAGCTCTCAGATCATGATACTAAGGTTGCTGATCTGAGGACATTTTGAGGAGCAAGACTCAAGAATAAATGGTACCACTTCCCACCTGACCTTTCTCCAAGTTGACTCCACTCCAAATACATTGGCATTTGCCCACCTCAGGACCTTTGCCTTGGCTTTTTGGTCTACTTAGAATACCTTTCCATGAGAATCTGCATAGTTCACTTCCTTACTTTCTTAAGGTCTCTGCCCAAATGTGATCTATCAGCAAGGCTTCTCTGATCATCTAACACAAAATGGCAGTCCCTACTCTGGCACACCCTATCTTCTTTATCTTGCTTTATTTTTCTCCGTGGCTGTTATAACCATTTGACATACAGTAATCCCCCCCCTTATCCATGGTTTTACTTCCCCTGGTTTCAGTTACCCGTGGTCAGCTATGGTCCAAAAACATTAAATGAAATACTCCAGATATAAACAATTCATAAGTTTTAAGTTGGGTGCCACTCTGAGTAGCATGATGAAATCTTACACTGTTCTGCTCCTTCCTGCCCAGGATGTGAATTATCCTTTTGTCTAACATATCCATGCTGTATATGTATATTAGTTACTTAGTAGCTGTCTTGGTTATCAGATCTACTGTCACTGGGCTATGTTCAAGTAACCCTTATCTTACTTAATAATGGTCCCAAAGGACAAGAGTAGTGATGCTGGCATACTGTTTAACTGTTCTATTTTATTATTATTGTTATTGTTAATTTCTTACTGTATCTAATTTGTAAATTAAACTTTATCATAGGTATAGGAAAAATATAGTATATATAGGGTTCAGTACTATTCAGTTTCAGACATCCACTGGGGGTCTTAGAACATATCCTCCTTGGATAAGGGGGACTACTGTACTCCACATTTACTAGTTTATTACTTGCTGAGAGCCTTGAGACAAAGAACTCTTGTTTTGTTTACTGAACAGTGCTTAGAGGCCGGGCATGGTGGCTCACTCCTATAATCTTAGCACTCTGGGAGGCTGAGGCGGGTGGATTGCTCGAGGTCAGGAGTTCGAAACCAGCCTGAGCAAGAGCGAGACCCTGTCTCTACTATAAACAGAAAGAAATTAATTGGCCAACTAAACATATATGTAAAAAAAATTTGCTGGGCATGGTGGCACATGCCTGTAGTCCCAGCTACTCGGGAGGCTGAGGCAGTAAGATTGCTTGAGCCCAGGAGTTTGAGGTTGCTGTGAGCTGAGCTGACACCACGGCACTCACTCTAGCCTGGGCAACAACGCAGGACTCTGTCTCAAAAAACAAAAACAAAAAAACAGTGCTTAGAACAGTGCCTGGCACATAGTAAATGATCAGTAAATACCTGTTGAATGAATTAAATGATTTCATCTTAAGTATTTATAGAAGTTGTATTTAGGATTCTAAACACAAAAATCATCAAAGCAATGCAATTGTGTTAAAAAGGACTTAAAAAAGAGTGACCATTTTAAAAAATGATGCATTGTAATAATTAAAGAACAATTTGTTACAGTATGTATTACATAGTATGTGCAATTGGTGATGCATATATCCACACAGTATTGACAGAATAGTACATCTATTGACATTGTTGGTTGGCCATCTATCAGCTGACTTCCACACTCAGCCTTCTTCCTTGCTTACCAAATGGTGATATGTTCAGGTTTAGGTAGCCTCCTAGGTAATAATCTCTTATCAGTTTAGTCAATTGAGGTAATTCCACTTTCCTTGCCAGTGTAGTCACGTGCTGTATAACAACATTTTGGTCAACAATGGACAGCATATACAACACTGGTCCCTTAAGAATATAATGGAGCTGAAAAATTCCTATTGGTTAGTGATATCTTGATGATCCTGACGTTATGTAGGTCTAGCCTAATGTGTATGTTTGTGTCTTAGTTTTAAAAATGAAAAAAAGGGCCGGGCGCCGTGGCTCACGCCTGTAATCCTAGCACTTTGGGAGGCCGAGGCGGGCGGATTGCTCAAGGTCAGGAGTTCGAAACCAGCCTGAGCGAGACCCCGTCTCTACCAAAAATAGAAAGAAATTAATTGACCAACTAAAAATATATATACAAAAAATTAGCCGGGCATGGTGGCGCATGCCTGTAGTCCCAGCTACTCGGGAGGCTGAGACAGTAGGATCGCTGAGCCCAGGAGATTGAGGTTGCTGTGAGCCAGGCTGACACCACGGCACTCACTCTAGCCTGGGCAACAAAGTGAGACTCTGTCTCAAAAAAAAAAAAAAAATGAAAAAAAGGTTAAAAAGTTAACATGTGTTTGTATTGGCTGGGCGTGGTGGCTCACGCCTGTAATCCTAGCACTCTGGGAGGCCGAGGCAGGCGGATCGCTTGAGGTCAGGAGTTTGAAACTAGCCTGAGCAAGAGTGAGACCCTGTCTCTACTATAAATAGAAAGAAATTAATTGGCCAACTAATATATATAGAAAAAATTAACTGGGCATGGTGGCACAGGCCTGTAGTCCCAGCTACTCGGGAGGCTGAGGCAGGAGGATTGCTTGAGCCCAGGAGTTAGAGGTTGCTGTGAGCTAGGTTGATGCCACGGCACTCTAGCCTGGACAACAAAGTGAGACTCTGTCTAAAAAAAAGTGTTTATGTTAATTTTAAGCTATATCAAGAGTCGAAAAGTTTATAAAGTAAGAAAATTATAATAAGCTAAGGTTAACTTATTTTTGCAGAAAAAAAATTTTAAAATAAATTTAGTATAGCCTAAGTGTACAGTAATGTCCTAGGGGGCCTTTGCATTCCTTCAGCACTCACTGACTCACCCACAGCAACTTTCAATCCTGCAAGCCCAATTCATGGTAAATGTCCAATATAGGTGTAACATTTTAAAAATCTTTTATACTGTATTTTTACTGTATCTTTTCTATGTTTAGATACATAAATATTTACCATTGTACCACTGTCACAACTGCCTACAATATTCAGTATAGGAACATGATGTACAGGTTTGTAGCCTAGAAGCAACAGGCTATATCACATAGCGTAGGTGTGCAGTAGGCACTACCATCTAGGTTTGTGTAAGTATACTCTGTGATGTCTGCATGACCAAAATTGCCAAAAGATACATTTCGCAGACACATTTCTCAAAACTTATCTTTGTTAAATGATGCATGACTGTAACTAGTTAGAGAAATAGGCTCATGATTTAATTCTGGCTAAGTCTGTTGAGAAGCTTTGGGTAAAATTTTTAAAAAAAGAAGAAATAGCACAAGATAGAAAATTCGTTTTTCCACTTTTGAGCAACAGCGCAAGAAACCATCACCTGGCAACCAAGAGGGAAAAGCCAAGAAGAGACAAGCTGGGGCCATATTATCAACCTGCTGTATTATCCAACCCTTCTTCTTGCAGGAGATAATAAATGAAGTCCATGATCATTATCCCTATTTTTATAGATGAGGAAACTGAGGCACAGAGGGAATTAAGTAAGTTGTCCAAGGTCAGAGTGGTGGAGCCAGGTTTCAAATCCAGGCAATCTGGCTCCAGAATCTTTATTCTTCCTACCTCTCCAAAGCAATTAACTAGACCACGTCCAACAAATACAGTGACATTATGCGGTCTTCTTGGTGAAGTAAAAGTTGTCTTTGGTCATTTATAGGTTTCAGTAGGTAACTGCATGGTACATATATTGTAATAGTATTGCAGTGGTACATATATATTTTTTCTATTATTGAACATCTTGGAAGCAAGATATCTAGACTCTAAAGAAGTGTTACTGGCTGGGCATGGTGGCTCACACCTGTAATCCTAGCACTCTGGGAGGCCGAGGTGGGCAGATCACTCAAGGTCAGGAGTTCCAGACCAGCCTGAGCAAGAGCGAGACCCTGTCTCTACTAAAAATAGAAAGAAATTAATTGGACAACTAAAAATATATAGAAAAAATTAGCCGGCATAGTGGCACATGCCTGCAGTCCCAGCTACTTGGGAGTCTGAGGCAGGCGGATAACCTGAGCCCAGGAGTTTGAGGTTGCTGTGAGCTAGGCAGAAACCATAGCACTCTAGCCCAGGCAACAGAGTGAGACCCTGTCTCAAAAAAAAAAAAAAAAAAAAAAAGAAGTGTTACCAAGGCCGGGTGCAGTGGCTCATGCCTGTAATCCTAGGACTCTGGGAGGCCGAGGTGGGAGGATCGCCAGAGGTCTGGAGTTCAAGACCAGCCTCAGTATGAGCAAGATCCTGTCTCTACTAAAACTAGAAAAAATTAGCTGGTCATGGTAGGGCATGCCTGCAGTACCAGCTACTCAGGAGGCTGAGGCAGGAAGATTGCTTGAGCCCAGGAATTTGAGGTTGCTGTGACATAGGCTGATGCCACGGCACTCTACCCCAGGCAACAGAGTGAGACTCTGTCTAAAAAAAAAAATGTTACCTAAAACAGATCAGGTTAAATCCCAGAGGCTCTGTCACCTAGGCTGGAGTACAGTGGCATGATCATAGTTCAGTGTAATCTTGAAATCCTGGGCTCAAGCAATCCTTCCCCCTCAGCTTCCCGAGTTGCTGGGATTATAAGTGTGTACCACCACACCCAGTTAATTTTTTATTTTTTGCAGAGAAAGAGTCTATGTTGCCCAAGCTGGTCTTGAACTCCTAGCCTCAAGTGATCCTCCCAACACAGCCTCCCAAAGTGGTGGGATTACAAGCTACCCATACCCAGCCTTCTATAACTCTTAAATCCACCAGGACTTTATTTTGATTTATGGTTAAGAGTAAAGATCTAGAATAATATTTCCCTAAAGAGTAACTATGTACACCAAGACTATTGGACACACTTTCCTCGCCCTCATGGAACTTCATGGTATAATGTAATAGCAATGACAATGCAGTAATTATTAACACATATGGGATGGTTGTTTGCAAGTGCTAGGTACAATGGCAGCAATGCAGTCTTACCTCTAAGCTGTGCAGGAAGATGTCTGATGGACAGTACCTCTTGCACAACATACTGATTCACTCCTCCACTTTTCAGCAACTCCTCTGGGGATAAGGGCAGATGGAACTCATACAGTTGGGGAGACATCCTTCTCCCGCTGGGTCACAGGGCTGGAAACCAAACAGTGAAAAGGTCAGGGTCTATATCCAAGACCTGTATTTTTAGCTGGTTATATTATTTTTCCCACCTCTGGCCATATATTTTTCCCAATATATAATGATTTTTAGTTTTACAGCAAGCTAATAACATTATCTTAAAGAATATGAGATCAACCCTGGACTAGAATCGAATGCTAGTAGTGACTCTGCCACTTGGTGGTGTCACTGAACTCCCTGGGTCTTATCTATAAAACAGGGTTACTAATCTTCTATTACTTCATAAAGTTTCTCTGATGATCAAATTAATCAAGAGGTATAAAGGTGTTTAAAGAACTGTAATTTGCATAGTAATGTGTAAAGTTAGCATTATTATTTCCATTTTTATGTGCAAAGCCCCTTAAGTATAGAGAGAATTGTCAGGTCTCACCTGAGGCCAGAACACTGCCCCAGCAAGGGCTAGTGGGTTTTCTGCACCAGGATGGGAAAAGCATGAACACTAATTATTTGTTTATTTTGTGCCAGGCTCTGTTAGGCTATTTGAATATGTCATATACGGTCTAAATCTCCTAATCTCAATCCCATGGAGTGCATAATAATACAACCCAATTTACAGATGAAGTAATTGAAGGTAGTAAAGGTTAAGCTTAACACACTCTGTTGCAGATCTGTCAGACTTGCATTTGTACCACTTCGCGCGCGCCCCAAGAATATTATTAGACTTCCCTGCCTACTGTCTATTGCCGACTACTGCGTCATACTACCCTGTACCCCATTTTTCCAGTCTTTCAAGACCTGGTCCCTATTAACACCACACCTTACCTGGGGATCTCACCCGCCGCTACTCGAACTCTGGAAGTTGGGCTGAAATGGAAGAGAGAAACACGAGTGCACAATACGCACCAATCAGCGAGGCAATTTTCAAGTTGGCGGGGAATCCGACCAATCGCCCGCAGGCAGAGGCAAAGGCCCGCCTCTGAGCCAAGGACAGCGCGGGCGAAGCCACAAATACGGAGTTCAAATCTCAACGGCCGCAGGAGGACCAATCGCGACGCTGGCTGGAGAGGCCGGCCAGTCACAGCGCAGGAGCCCGAGCGCCCGGCCGCGCCGCCAGCTGGCGGGGCAAGATTGAGGCTCCCGCCTACCGCTCCGCGCCCACTCGCCTGGCGGCTCTTTCTCCACAGGGCTCTCCCTTCGTCCCAGTCGGCTGGGAGGAGGCCTTCGTAGGGCCCGCCCGAGATGTTGCGTCCCTAGATGGGCAGTAGTAGTGCCCCTGCAATAGTGAACTCAGGCATCCCCAGGACAAGAGGCTGTCCGAGCTGGGAGTTAGAAGGCATGGGCTCCAATCCGGGTTTCGTCATCTCCTCGGCTCAGTGACGTCCAGCAAGTCACTTCACTCGCTGGGCCTCAGATTTCCTTCCCTGTAGTAAAATGGGGGTAATAAAAACAGCTACAGCGCAAGACTGGTGTGAGGCACAAAGTCTTTGAAAACTCCGGGTTCCATGTTCTGGACCTTCATTTCCCTCACAGTTGAGAGACGCCGAAGGAACAAGAAAGGGTGAATTTCCTGAAAATTACAGTCTTGGGGCGTCCTAGACAGGGATGAGGGCAGAATTCAACTCTTCTGGCGCTCCAAAACTTCCGGCAGGCAATCCGGAAGCACTTGGGCGCAGCGACTTGTCAAGGGCTCCGTGGGCCGGACCCCGGAGGGCGGGGCTTGTAGCTGGGGAAGGAGGGGCCTAGGCGGGCCCTTCGCCCAGAGGTACCTGGGTAAGGCTCAAGATGGCTGCCTCCTCGTTAGTAACCGTGTGAGGCCAGCGGGGACGGTCCCCGTCCTTGAAGGCCACGTTTGGTCCTTATTCTTGGGCTTGTTTGGTGTGCTATTGAGAGAGAGACTAGAGCAATGGCAGGGAGGCTCTCCTGGGGGGCATGTAGGGGCCTGTGGGGCTGGGTGCCCTTGGCGTGCAGAAGCTTCTCTCTGAGTAAGTGGCTGATGTAGACGCCCCTAGAAGAACTGCTTCTTTGTAGGCGGCGCACATTCATTCCCTCTCTTCTTCATTCCTAGGTATTCCTGGATTGTCTCATGTAAGGCTCACCCTGCCGCCCCCAAAAGTGGTTGATCGTTGGAACGAGAAAAGGGCCATGTTCGGGGTGTATGACAACATAGGGATCCTGGGTAAGACTTGACTCTACGTGGTACACAATTTCAGAATGGCAGTTACGCTGTGACAACTATCCTTTTCACCTGCATAGAAGATGGTGCTGTGCTCAATAGTGAAAGCAAACAGTTATGTGGCTGTTTACATTGCGTTTGGCACTGTTCTGAGTACTCTCATAATATTTTCATTTAACAGGTAAGGAAACTGAGGAACAGAGAAGTTAGTAATTTTTCTAAAGCTAGTAAATGGCAGTGTGAGAATTTGAACCCCAAGCAGTCTGGCTAACAGTCTGTGTTCTTGATAAACTATGTAGTCTTTTCTGTAGGTGCTGTTAAGAAGAGGCAACTGTGGGTTAAAGGCTTAGCTAGTCTAGGCTGGGTTCTCTTGTCTTGTAACTAATATATTCTCTTACACAGGAAACTTTGAAAAACACCCCAAAGAACTGATCAAGGGCCCCAGATGGCTTCGAGGTTGGAGGGGAAATGAATTGCAGCGTTGTATCCGGAAGAAGAAAATGGTTGGAAAGCGAATGTTCATCGATGACCTGCACAACCTTAATAAACGCATCCGCTATCTCTACAAACACTTTAACCGACGTGGGAAGTACCGGTAGAAACGAAAAGCTGGGAACTTTGGAAGAGGCTCATCTGTTTCCCTGGAGAAGAGGAACAGTACTTTTCTCGATGAGGAAAGGGCTTTGTATGTTCTCTGTAATAAAATGGGGCTTCTTTGGAATTTGATATCTACATACTTTATTTTCCTCTAAGTGCTGCTTCTACTAATAGACTATGAAGTCTGACTCATCCCTGAGTCTTAAGCCTTAGGATCTTAGGTTTGGGCTTCACACCACTTGCCCTTTGCAGTCCAACAATACCTATGGCCTGTAAAAAGAAAAGCCGGTGAGAATACTTTGTTGTTGACACTTTTTTTTTTTTGAGACAGAGTCTCACTTTGTTGCCCAGGCTAGAGTGAGTGCCATGGCGTCAGCCTAGCTCACAGCAACCTCAAACTCCTGGGCTGAAGCAATCCAGCTGCCTCAGCCTCCCAAGTAGCTGGGACTACAGGCATGCACCACCATGCCCGGCTAATTTTTTTTATATATATTAGTTAGCCAATTAATTTCTTTCTATTTTTATAGTAGAGATGGGGTCTCGCTCTTGCTCAGGCTGGTCTCCAACTCCTGACCTCAAGCAATCCGCCTACCTCGGCCTCCCAGAGAGCTAGGATTACAGGCGTGAGCCACCACGCCCCTCGAGTCTTAAATTTTTTTAGCCTGTCAAATAGGAATAATACAGTCCTTTTTCCTCATAAGATTATATAAGGAATAAATAAAATTTTAAGGTAAAATATTTAGTACAAAGTTTGGCAAATTTAAGTGGTGAAGGCACTCTTCTGGAGTATGCAATTGTCAAGAATTACAAAAATCTGAAAAAAATGAATGAAAATATGTTTAAAATTATTAGCTGAAAGTAAAAGTAGTATTGCAAACTAAAGAATACGAATTATTTGTAGATACAAATTGGGATTTGAAGGCAGAGGAATTGGGTTGAGTACTTTTTGATCCAAATCCTTTAAGTACCTGTTTTTTTGTTTGTTTGTTTTGTTTTTTTGAGACAGAGTCTTACTCTGTTGCCCAGGCTAGAGTGCCGTGGCGTCAGTCTAGCTCACAGCAACCTCAAAGTCCTGGGCTGAAGCAATCATACTCCCTCAGCCTCCCAAGTAGCTGGGACTACAGGCATGTGCCACCATGCCCAGCTAATGTTTTTCTGTATATTTTTTAGTTGGCCAATTAATTTCTATTTTTAGTAGAGACGTGGTCTTGCTCAGGCTGGTTTTGAACTCCTGAGCTTGAGTGATCCGCCCACCTCGGCCTCCCAGAGTGTTAGGATTATAGGCGTGAGCCACCGCGCCTGGGCTAAGTACCTGTTTCAGTTATTATTACATAAAAATTTACCCTAAAACTTAATGACTGAAGACAATTCATTAATTCATATTCTCTGGGTTATCTGGGCTCAGCTGGTTAATTCTCCATTTGGTGTTGGTTAGGGTCAATGATGTGGTTTCATTCAGCTGGGAACTTGGCTGGGGCTAGAATGTCTTCACTCACATCTGGTGTCTCAGTTGGGGTGGCCGAGATTCTTTTTTCATATAGTCTCATTCAGTTGTCTAGACTAAACTTTTTTTTTTTTTTTAAAGAGACAGGGTCTTGCTCTGTCTCTTTAATGGACTGACATTATAACTTTGTAAATATTGTTTACTATTGAGCCAAGTGGTATACTTATGTTTCATTTAATATGATATTCCATAATCATACAGTATGATCCTTCATGACTGGCTCCTTTCACTTAGTGCTTTCAGGGCTCACCTATGTTGTAGCGTGTATTAGTACATACTTCATTCCTTTTTATTACCAGATGACAGTCCATTATATGGATTTACCACATAAATTTTATCCATTTATCACTTGATGGACATTTGGGTTGTTTCCACTTTTTGGCTATTCTAAATAATGTTTCTATGAACATTGATATATGAGGATTTTTGTGGACATATGTTTTCATTTCTCTTAGGTATATACCTAGGAGTGGAATCACTAGGTCATTATGGTGACTCTATGTTTAACTCTTTGACCAACTGCTGGACTCTTTTCAAAATTGGAAATTCTAAAATGAATCATTTGGAATTCCCAGTAGCATATAAGGTTCCAATTTCTCCACATTATTGCCAATACTTGTTATCCATCATTTTTATTTTCACCATCTTAGTGGGTGTGAAGTAGTATCTCATTGTGGTTTTGTTTTGCATTTCCCTGATGGCTAATGATGTGGACTTTTTTTTTTTTTGAGACAGTCTCGCTTTTTTTGCCCAGGCTAGAGTGAGTGCCATGGCGTCAGCCTAGCTCACAGCAACCTTAAACTCCTGGGCTCAAGCAATCCTCCTGCCTCAGCCTCCTGAGTAGCTGGGACTGCAGGCATGTGCCACCATGCCCGGCTAATTTTTTCTATATATATTAGTTAGCCAATTAATTTCTTTCTATTTATAGTAGAGATGGGGGTCTCACTCTTACTCAGGCTGATTTTGAACTCCTGACCTCGAGCAATCCGCCTGCCTCGGCCTCCCAGAGTGCTAGGATTACAGGCATGAGCCACCGCGCCCAGCCTGTGGACTATTTTTTATTGTGCTTATTGGCCATTTATATATCTTCTTTGGAGAAGTGTCTGTTAGATCTTTTGCTCATTTTCAAATTGGGCTTTTTATAATTGAGTTGTAAGAATTCTTTATGTATTCTAGTTACAAATACCTTATCAGATAAATGATTTGCAAATTTTGTTCTCATTTTATGGGTGCTTTTTTCACTTTCTTGATCCTATCTTTTGAAGCACGAAAATTTTTTTTTTTTTATTTTAGCGTATTATAGGGGTACAAGTGTTAAGGTTATGTATATTGCCCATGCCCTCCTCCCACCTCGAGTCACCCCCCAGGCGGGGTGCCGCCGCCTCCGAAGCATGGACCATCCCAAATGTCGTGCACAGTCTCACGCATCGTGTGTGTGTGTATACTACCCGACCATCCCCACCTCCTCCCACCTGCCCACACCCATAAATGTTACTCCCTCATACAGTCCACTGAAGTGTTGACCGGTACATACCAATTTGCTGGTGGTCACATTGTGTTTGTTTTTCCATTCTTGAGATATTCACAGTAGAATGGTTGTCTACATCCAACGCCTCGAGCGCGCTATAACTCATCATTGTTTTCTAAGCTGAATAGTACCTGCATGAACATATACGCAAATTTATTAACCACTCATGATCGTGGCACATTGTTGTTCTCCACTTGGTTGTTTTTTTTTTTTTGAGACAGAGCTTGCTTTGTTCCAGGCTGCGTGCGTGCGTGCGTCACTCTGCCCTCATAGCCCCTCAAACCTCCCTGGCTCAAAGGAATCCTGCTGCCTCAAGCCTCTCAGTAGCCCTGGGAACTACACGCAGCGCCACCATGCCAGCCTAACTTTCTTCCGTTCTAGCTAGTAAGTTGGGCCATGGCGTCTCCTCTTCCTCAGGCTGGTTGAACTCCTGACCTCGAGCACCTCTGCCTCGGCGTCCCAGAGAGCTACGGATTATACAAGGCATGAGCCACGGCGCCCAGCCAGCGTTCTTTCTTCATAAAGTGAACTTGACTTTTGGGTAGAATGCCAAGTAGCTGGAATCGCGATCAAATGGTAGACTCCACCCTTTCATCTCTTTACACAGCGTATCTTCCATATTGCG